CACACAAAAAAAAAAAAAAGGAAAAGTAAAAGCAGCACACTGCAAAGCACACACACACACACACACACACACACACACACACACACACAGAGGGCGGGTGTAACCTTACCAGTGACAGTGGTTGGAGAGCTCCCACATGCGACGACAACAGCAGCCATGCGAGAGAACGGCCATTGACACCACCGTCATCACCACTACCACAACTACTACAGACGCCGACAGTGGCAGCATCAACTCTGATGTTGCCACTGGCGATGCCGTCTGGAGAGGCGTCGCGTGCTGGGCAGGCACAACAACAGGGACAGCGACAGCAACAACAGCGTGTGGCAAGATGGAGGCGAAATGTGTAATCCCAGCGGCATCATGTCCGGAAGGAAGACGCAGAAAGACACGGAGTGATGCAACGACTTCTCCTGAACACCAAGAGGAAGAGGAGAGGAAGACAAGATATTCAAGGAAAAAGAACCGAAGCAACATGAGAGACACGAAACGCACAAAGGTGTGGCCACGCTGATGGCACAGCACAACACATGTGAGCACACTAGCGCGCTCGTGCTGTGCAACACTTGCGCCCATTCATAGCCACAGTCACGCAAACCAGGACGAAGAGGAGGAGCAACAACAACCAACCAACCAACCAACCAGCCAACCAACCAACCAACCACAACCAACCAACCAAGCAACAACAATAACGACATGGTCCCGCGATGGTCCACAGCTCCCGGAAGACGGAGGTATGTCCGCCCCGTGTGCACATAAGCAACACCTCTGCCATGCAACGTCAAATCACCATCATTGCATGTTTGCGTGCGCAGATGTGAGGCCCCCTCCAATTCCCTCGACGCGTGTGCATGGCGATCCTTCACAGCACAACCCCGCACAGCGCACAAGACAAACCCCGGCCTCAAGCCCACAACACCTCCCCACAACAGGAAATCACATCTCACCCTCAACCACACATCCGGCATGTGCGTCGCACCTTGCAGTGGCAGTGTGCTGTCCTGTGCGGACTATCGGTGCATCCCGTCCTTGTTGCTGCGGCGGCCCGCGGCGGCTTCACCACAGCGAGCGATCGCCTCCCGTCGTGACACCGGCAGTGTCTTGTTCTGGCCCGCACCACCAATGGGTTCGTTCTTCACCCGTCGCTGTCCGCTTCAACTGCACCTGCTCCATCCAAGACGATCCAAGGCGTCAAAGGGGGGGGGGCATGCTGTGGACGGCGTGGATTGCGTGCTCGATGGCGTGCCTGCAGCGCATTGTGCTTGTTTGTGTTGTCTCTTCTTCAAACTGCATGCACGCAAATCCAACACCACCACCACAGCAGTAGTTGCTGTTTATCCAACACCACCACAGCAGTGGTTCCTTGTTGTTCATGAGCCCGTGATGCTGCGGTTGTTGTTGTCGCAGTTGCGTTGGCGGTTACGGCGAAACTCGTGGTGGTGCTGGTTCGTGTTGGTGTGAGCGCACTTGCTGCTGCTCTTGCTGCTGTTGTCTCCTTCTTCCCCTTTCCGTTACGGGGGGTCAGCACAAGTTCCCTGGCGCCCGCAAGGTCCCCAACACCATGCTGCTGCTGTGGCAACGGCTGCATGCTGTGTGCTCGGGTGCCTCGTTTGTCACTGCCTGCACCTGTGCATTGAGGGCACGGTGGGGTGAGGTCGCGAGAGAGGAGGCGACGTTGACGCCCGCAGCAGACAGATTATAGAAAACCACTCAAAGCACACACATTGCACGCACATGCCTGGGCGGTGGATAGCACACAACAAACACAAACACCGACACAAACACACACACACGCACAAAAAAAAACCGCCATGCACCAAGTGCAGACGTGCTGGTGGTGTGGTGTGATGGTGCCGGTGGTGTTGGCACCTGCATATGCACGCACGTGCACACGTGCGTGCATGAGGAAGACAATGACGGCTGCAACCTGTGATGTGAACGCTCACGTGAGCATGGGCTGAAGCAATGACACGCGCATGTGACACGATGAGGCCTTGCGTAAGCAGCACGCAACAAAGATTACAATGTACACGTGTGTGTGTGTTTGTTTGTTTGTGGGAGCGGACATGTGTGCAACTGAGCGAGCGGTGTACTGCGAACACGTGTGCACAAGCAACAGCGCCTGGCTGTGAGGCCCAGGCACACCCACGCGCACACACAGGCACAGCATGTCTGTCTTCCTCCTTTCGCAGCAGAGGTGCTCTCCTGTTACAAGCCCTCCTCGCCTCGTTCTGCTTGTTCTTGTTGTTCCACATCCATCAACTCCTCTTCATTCTCACTCACCGTATTGTTGTTGTTGTTGCTGCTGCTGCTGTTGCTGCTGCTGTCTTGCTGTCATTTCCGCAGGTCTCAGTGGGTGCCCACGGCCCGCCTCTCCAGTCCGTCCTCTACATCCACCGACACCTGGGCTGTACACTGGCCGTCAAAGCACCAAACCTCGTCGCGCCACCACCCTCCAACAGGACTTGCTGCCCAGGTGGTTCCCATGGCCCCCTTCACCCAATATCTGTCAGTACACACGTGTGCACATGCGAGTGCCTCTGCCCACGGGCCTGTTGCTGTGCGTCGACTTCTCTGTCCCCTTTTCTGTTTCTCTCCGTTCCCCTCTGTCACACACACACACACACACAGACACACACACACACACGGCCTGTCTTTGTCGCTGTGTCTCTGTACACGAACGAACGGCAGCTGTGGCTGTGATGATGCGAGTACCTGTGCTCACAGCCCGCATGCGTGGGTGTGCCTCTGTTGCCGTTGGCGTGTGCGCAGTTGCTGCGACACGGGTCTCTTGATGCGTGGCTGCCCTGCTCACACGTGTGTCTATGCTCTTCACAAAAGGCACGCGCCAGCAGGTAAGGAGGAAGCAAGGACGATGTGAGATGCGGCTCAAGCACAGGCAAGCAGGTGGCGTGGCACGACCATGGAAGGTACTGCAACAACAACAACAACAACAGCAACAACAACAACAACAACAACAACAACAACAACAACAACAACAGCAGCAGCAGCAGCAACAACAACAACAACAACAACAACAACAACAACAACAACAACAACAACAACAACAACAACAGCAGCAGCAGCAGCAGCAGCAGCATTTGTGCATGCACGTTTGGCCTTTGAAGACACAACAGCAACAGCACACTGCAACACACATGCGACCGTACCAGCTGACAACGGCTGCACTCGGTGCGATCACGGAGAAGCGTAGCCACCATCCACATCATCCTCGCCCCGACCATTGCAACTGCAACCTGCTGCATCGCCACTTGGTGCAGTCACGGAGATCAAAAGACAGCGGAGTTCGCCGGCGCATCCGCCCCTTTCAACATCAATCGTCTCATTGAGGACTTCTACCAGCGGCGGCAGCAGTACCAACAGCAGCAATAGCAGCAGCAGCGGCGGCAGCAGCAGCTTCTGCGCCATTCACGTGCAAGCACTTCGCTGCAGGATGCACAAGAGAAGGGAGAGCAGGGATGTGTGTGAGAGACCGGGAGGAGGCGTTTGAGGGGAACGTGTGTTGTATGCCAACTGTGTCATGGTGGTGGTGTGGTGAAGACAGACGTCGTGCGTATGCAGCGATAGTGGCATGGTGGATGATCCATCACCGAGCAAACATGTGCACATGGCTCGGTTGCACGGGTGCATCCAGTCCACCATGTCACATCGCCGCCTCCATCCCGCCCACATGCACACATGCACCTACACACACACACACACACACACACACACACACACACACACACACACACACACACACACACACACACACACACACACACACACACACACACACATGCACGGACGATGGCTTCCTCATGCATGTCGACATGCATTAATGTAAACCAGGCAGTCGTTGATGCGTTCGTGTGTATGCGATACCTTCAAATCGGGAAAGAGAACACAGACGACAGAGGCCACCCCGAGCATCCGAAAAGGAAGTGCGTTGGTTGGTTCGCGTCGATGTGCGTGTTGAGGTGTTGGGGTGCAGAGCTGCAGCATGACCTCGTTTTAGCGTTTTGACAGAACACGCCCTCTGCTCACTTCATATCCAACTTGCGAGTCCTTTCTCGAGTCCTTCCATGCTGACGTCACAGCCACGTAGAGCAAGCCCAGTCCGTAGTAGTTAGGTGTCCTGTCACAAGAAACCAAAAGAAGCCGGTGCTGTCTGATGTCTTTGCCTTGGCTCGTGTAGTTCCTTTTGTGCGCGCGATCTTCGTGTGTCACCACCATCACCATCACCGCCCACCATCACCATCACCATCAGCGAGAGCGACGACGATGTCGTGGGTGCACCGACGAGCGTGCTGGCTGGCTGCAACGGAAAGTCACTTTCGGTTCTGTGGAAACAAGAAACTGCATTCAGTCTCTCATTTAACACATTGTCACGCCGCACAACATTCAAACACACTATGTAAACCCAGCACGGGTCGACAGATGGTTTGAGGGTTTGCTGCCTGCACTCTAGCACTCTACTCTGCTGTGCTGTGCTCTGCACTGCACTGCACTCTCCCACCCACACACACACACTCACACACACACACTCTCTCCTCTCTGAACAGCTCTTGCACGCTCTGTCGACTTCCTACCTGCCACCTGTTTGCTGCTGCAAGAAGGGCAAGTATGTACGTCGGGAAGAAGTGCATTGCCAGAAGAACCACAGTCATCTTGCCTGCTTGCTTTGCAAGTCCTGCTCACTTGCTCAGCCCTCCTCCCATTTCATCATCATCTGTTGTCTCTTGCTTGCCAACTGTTGTTCTCCCAAGGATCTCCGGTCTATGTTTCTTATGTTTCATGTGCGCTGGGGCACCGCACTGGAGGGATAGCTGAACTACATATCTATGTACCTGAACTGTGTTGCTCTTTGTAGCGCTCATGTACTCTCCAAGACAGCAGAGCATAGCGGAGCACCGTACTTGTTTGATAAAAGATGCAAGAGAAGAGAACACCAGAAGCAAGCTACACACATCAATGTGGATGTAGAAATTGCATGCAAGCTCAGAGAGAGAGAGAGAGAGCGCTCTTTCTGCTTTTTTCGTGCGGCTTTGGGCTGGGGTAATAACGGGGGTTTAGGAGTAGCTCTGCTTGGTTGTGGTCCCCTCGCCCCTTGCTCTCTGTCTGTTGCGAAAAGCTACATCTTTGTGGTCGGCTCTCGCGTACAATGGGACGATGACAGGTCCTTGTAGGCAACTTTCACGTCGCCCTCAATTGCTTGATTGAGCGTCAGCGTGCGTGTCGCGCTGTGTTGTTCGCATGTTTGTATTTCAACTCCACACCAGCCAAGCAAAACACAGCGCAAAATACACGGCGCAAAGCACACACACACACGCACACAATATAACGGCGAACACGGCGCAGTTTTAAATTAACAAGATCGAGCTAGTCGTTCTGAACATACGTGAAGGTGAAGAATGAAGAGAGCCATGCAGCGTGTGCAGCAGGCAAGTTCCATCACTCCGAGTCGTCATCTGTGATGGTCAAGGCGACAGAGGGAAGGGAGGAGCTCCGAGCCCGGCCGGATGGTTGTGCCGTTGGATGCGGGCTGAGCGATGTGGCTACTGGTGTCGCTCCAGCCACGAGCGCATTTCCAGCCTGCAGCTGTGCGCGCTTGCCCGGTGATGGCGTGCCTGTTACTTGTGCAGTAGCCTTGTGCGTTGCGTGGCGAGACGTTAAGGGAGACGCAGGTGCCGAGGGCGGTGACAATTCCACAGCAGCGTGCGTGGATGTCCTTGACCGAGGAATGGCACAATCTGCCCACGACAATGACGCAGATCGTCGACCCAGGGCAGCATGACGGGGCGGGGACGTGGCCCCAAGGCCGTCCTCGCTTGCGTTACGCTGGCGGTGTGGCCGGCGCGCCCGCGCATCGCCAGCACCCATGGCGGTGCTTGGCCGTGGTGGCAGGAGGGACGCCGCAGTTGCGCCGTTCTCGCTTGTTGACGACCGTGTGGACAGCGAGCGGCACCCTGAACGCAAAGCGAGGTCAAGCAACCACGAACCACGGCGGTTGTTAGTACCGGCACCAGCGTTGGCAGTTGAAGTATTGCGCAGAACAGAACACAATAATGACTTCAAGCGAGACATGGCGTGAGTTGCATGTGTACGCACTGACAACACACGAACATCACCGAACTTACGCAGCGCCCGTTCGAGAGCCTGTTGCCTGTTCTCTTTCTGCTGTTCCTTGCGTTCCTTCTCGACGCGTGCGAGCGTGGCCTGGCGACTTGCCTGGATGGCCGCTCGCCGTCGCCGCTTCTCACGTTGCAGCTGTTCCCAACGATGTATGATGCGGTCTTGCGTCTGTTGGTCCGCAGCTGTCGTAAACACCCTGGATCGAGGGTAAGGGTACAGAAGGGACGTGCGCGAGTTTGGTGTCAGCATGCATGCAAGGACACTGGGGGTAATCGTAATGGTTGACACAAAGGTTCGCAACCACATTCACACACAAAGACACACACACACACACATACATACACACAAGTACAGAGGCAGATGCGGAAAAGAAAGAGACGCAGGCGTGAAAACGCACTCGAGTGAGGAGAGTCGTTTACGAAGTTGGCCCAGTGCCGTATCGGCTGTGTCATCGGCGCCGGATCCAATGCGATCGTCATCGGACCACTCGTCCGCCGCACCGACGTCACCCTCGTTGCTGCTGCCACCGCCGCTGTCATCGTGACCGCCTAGGCCGCCCGCCTGCGGGGATGTGAGCAGTGCACGCCGCTCAGCGGTTGGGTCTGGAGAAATTGATGGAGAGACGGAGCCAGAGCGGGGCGAGGGCGCAAAGGGAGCACGCGGCAGTACAGGTGATAGCGGCGGTGACAGCGACGTGGAGACGCGTGGCGACCGGCCACGGGTGAGACGGGTCCGCCGTGTTGTGTCCTCGGTCTTGAGCTCCCACGACTCGAGATCGACGCTGGGCTGACGGCGCAGCAGGGCGCGGCGGGTGGCAGAGATGGCGCGGGTCGATGTTGGCGACGGCGGTGCGTTCCTTAATGTTCTTGTTGATGACGTTGCTGCTCTCGTTGTCTTTGTTCCTGGTGGGAGTGATGGTGCATGCCGTGCGCGTGCGTCTGGTGTTGGCGGTTGTGATGGCGATGAAGATGAGCCCGATACCGAGGGCGATGATGATGATGAGGAGTGTGGGGATGAGTCAGTGCGTGAGCGTTCAGTTAAAGCGGCTCGTGGTGGGTTGTCGTCGCGGCGGTGCGCACTGCCGCCACCGCTGCCACGACGGCCACGCTCCGCTTGCTGCTGGCTATGGTGACGTTCATCGAAGCTCGCGTCGTCTCCAAATACATCGTGCAGCGAAAAGATGGAGCCATCAAGAGAGGACGCTGCATCGTCATCGTCCACGTCGTGTGCTGTCACAAAGGGAAGCACAGACATGTGCGCATCCTCAGCGATGGAGGATGTCGTGACCAGACCGGGCATTCGTGTGCGCCGGCCATCGCTCTTGTCAGCAACCGCGTGAGCGCTGCTGTCACCGTGGGCACTGTCGTGGCTGTGGCGATCACGGCGGCGGCGGTGTTCGTGGTGGCTGCGGCGGCCGCGACGGCGATGATGGTGATGGTGGTCGTCATGATCATCCGAACCCTCAAGCTGAGCGTGGCTCGTGCTGGTGCTGGTGGTGTTGCTGGTGTTGCTGGTGGTGTTATTGGCGACGATGGCGGCTGTTGTGGCGGCTGTGACCGTGTGGTTTGTCTGCTCGCCATCGCCTTCTTCGTGGTCGCGTTGATGCCGGTGGCGGGCATGGTCGCGACTATTGTTGTTGGTCACGCCTGCTTGTTCGCCGTGCACGGCATTGCGCTTCCCCTTTACTGCGGCTTCAGTGGTGGTTCTGCTGCTGCTGCTGCTGCTGTCGTCGTCGTCATCGACACTGCCGTCCGCTTGCGTCATATTGATGATGGGCGCCTGTTGCGTGTCAGCACCGGGGTGCATAGGCGCCGAAGTGGTGTCCATGGCCTTGGCTTGGCTCACTGTTGCGGCCGGTTGACATGACGTTGGCTCAAGGGAGGACGCAGAGGATGACGGCGGCGCTGTTGCTGATGGTGACGTGGAGTTTGCGTGTGTGCTGGTTCCTTTGGCCTGAGTTGCAATTTGCTTCTGCTGCAGTGGTGCCTCATTCGCCTTCTCGACTTCATCCACTCCAATGCACACTCCAGCAGCTACCGTCACACCCTGACGTGCTGTACCAAGCCCAGCGCTTTGATCGTCACCACCACCACCACCACCACCACCAGCACTGTCTTGCACTTCAGCGCGACTGTCACCCTTGAACCCCTGCTGCTGGTGTTGCTGGTGCAGCCGCAACGTCCCTTCCTCCTCCTCTGGGATGGCCTCAAGCCTGTAGACGGAGGCGTGCGGCGAGCCCTGCCGCTGGCTGGCGATGCTGGCAGCACTGATGCGGCCGCGCGGGGAGGCGCCTGATGCCGTGCCAGTGCCGCTCAGCTCTTCTTCATCAGCCTGTGCATGTGGGCGGGTCCGAGAGAAGTGGTCAAAACACGACATCGCCGAGGTGTGAGGCGTGGGCATGTGTGCTGTGCTTCAGTGAAGGCGTGAAGGCGAGGTCACACAGACAGTCAGACAGACAGACGGACAAAGAGACAAACAGGCAGGCAGCAGGCAGGTGAACAGGTAGAAAGACACACACACACACACAGACACAGAGCAATCGAAGCAGGTGCAAGGCATGCGGTACATTACCAGGAACGAGTATGTGACGGGAACACTTCGACGGTCATACTCCCAGGCAGCGTATGTCTCAAACACACTGGCGATGCACACACACACACACACACACACACACACACACACACACACACACACACACACACACACACACACACACACACACACACACACGGGGGGGGGGTACAAGGAGAGAAGGGGAGCGGGTAGCAAGGAGGTGAGCACAAGTGAGCGTCGTGCAACGTTGTGATTGGCAGGGGGCGTGGGTGCGTGAGTCTCGAGAGCCAGGGTGTGCCTGTTCAGTCCCACAACAAACGCAAACAAACGCAAGCACAAACACAAACACAAACACAAACACACACACAAAATATGTGACCGCTAGAGAACATGCATGTGACTGACTCTGGAGGCTTCGTGGTGAATGCAACCGTGCTCCAGCGGCCACCGGTGCGCGGGGCCTGTACCAGCGTCCGCTGCTGCGCAATGCGCTCGCTGTCAAGGTGCAGCCACGAGTTGCGTCTGTGGCGGTGCTCTCCACCGTCGCCAGCCCAACTGTGGCCCCACATGTCGTCATCGTCACCCAGCGTAATGCCAACGGGAATAGCACTGCTGCCGCTGCTGCCGCTGCCGTCTGCGAGTCCCTCGTGCTGGGCCATGAGATCCGCCCACAGCTCGGCGGCGCGCTGAATGGCCTGCAGCTGCACCGCAATCGGGACAGGGCCGTCATCACTGCCGCCGGAAGTGCCATAGCTTCCGTCCTCATCACCGCCCGTATCACTCTTCTTCGCCTTGCCTGCGCGCGTGCGTGTGTGGCGCCTCCCAGGCGGGCGGTGGCGGCTTCGGGCAGCGGGTGTGTCATGCACTGTCTCTGGTGTCATTGATCGCCGTGGTTGGCGTCCGCGTGCTCTTGCGTCCTGCACCTGTACTTCGCTGCTGTCACCACCCATCCTTTCGCTATCGTGCAGCGAGGAGGTGGTGGTGCTGTTGTCACCACTGTCAGCGGCGATGCTGTCGTCGCTCTCATGACGAACCTCACGACTATCGTCGCCGTCATAATCACTGCGCCCGTCGTCGCCACCGTCGTCACCATGATCGTTCTGTCGAACAGCGCCACCGTCAACACTGGCGACAGCGCAGCCCACTGTCTGGTGCGACCCACCTTGTTCACGGCGGTCGCCCCCGTCCCTAGCAGTGTCATTGGCATTGTTTTCGGCCTCATGATCATGATCATCATCAGCATCGCTGATCGGAACACCAACACGCTGCGGCTTCACGACGTTAGCGCCTGCATTATCGGCACCTGTGCCATCTCGTGCAGTGTCGGTGGCGGCAGATGACACCGTGACAGATGGGACGGCCGAGTTCGCTGCGTCGACTGTGGCAATCGAGGTGGGTGAGGTGGTGGTGGCTGCATCTGTGCTCGTGGTGGGGTCAGCACTCGCATGCTGTGGCAATGACTGTGCCATGGAATCGGATTCGCTGCCCCCATCGTTGGTCATTGTCCGTACACAGTGGCGGATACTGTCATCAGCGTCTGCGTTGCTGCTGCTGCTCAAACTGTCGCGCCGAGAGACAGCTGAGGCGCTCACATCTCCACTGCTGCCATCATCGCCCGTGCCGCTGGCATCAGCAAGGGCCGCACCACTCCGTCGCCGGCGCCGCTTCTGCTTCGATGCACGTCGATGGCGGCGCCTGCGGTGACGTGACCCATGGTTGTGGTCGTGGCTGTGGTGCTGGTGACCTGTGGCCGGAGCAGCGTGGGCCGCGGTATCAGCACTGTCCTGTTCCCGGTCTGCTGCCTCGTACACGGCTGACACCTGCTTGAGGATGTCCTCCACCACGTGCCGATTCACGTCGGCGGTTCTGCGCGCGGTCTTGAGGATGGAGCGTGCGGGTCGCGTGTCCAGGCGGGGGCCGAGGTCATGCTTGGCATCGCCACTCCCGTGCTCGGCCGTCACCCAGTCAAAGAACGGGCCAAGGAAGACCAGGAAGAGGTGCTGCACACCACGCCAGGTGGAGGGGGGGGGTGAGTGTGAGTGAGTGTGTGAGTGAGTGAGTGAGTGAGTGAGTGAGTGAGTGAGTGAGTGAGTGAGTGAGTGTGTGTGTGTGTGAGTGCGTGTGAGTGAGTGTGTGTGTGAGTGTGTGCGTGTGTGTGTGCGAGTGAGTGAGTGTGTATGTGAGTGAGTGTGTGAGTGAGTGTGAGTGTGTGTGAGTGAAAGTGGGCGCGTGTGCGGGCGGGATTGGGATGGGATGTTTCGCGTGTGCATAAGAAGCGAACAACACCAGCGGTGGGCAGCGTGAGCACCGACAAGGAGAGCAGGAAGATGGACGTACGGTGGTCTGGCTTGGACAGAGAAGAAAGGAGATGATGAGCTGGAGGAGGATGAATGCGGCACCGAGTGTCCAGACACCGACTTGAAACGGAAGGCCAATGCCGCCTCCTTCTTCTTCTATCAATGTTCTCGCATTCGCTTCTCGATTCTGCGTCAGCACAGCGTCACTGGCGAAGGAGCAGCTGCTGTCGCTGTGGGTCCAGTCACCCGTCTGAGCGCTGTTCTCGAGTTGGGCATGACTCGGGCTGGCATGAGCTGCGTCTTGATGATCAACTGCCGTGTCCAGCGCACTTGTGCCTTGCTCCGCCTGCGGAGCTTCGGGGTGGTCACTAGTGTGCTGGATTTCAGTGAGAGGGTCGTGTTGCTGCACCTCAAGAGCGTGCTTTCGTCGGCCCACGAGAAGGTCGTTGGCGCGCTGCGTGATGGAGCTGGCCGGGTGCTCCTGGTCGCCGCAGAGTGTGTTGCAGTCACTGGTTTCGTGCGTGTCGGTGCCACCAGTGTCGCCTGGCGAGCTGTCAGCAGCTTCGTTAGTGGGTGGCGCGAGCTCTGGTTCTGATGCTGGTTCTGGTGTTGGTGGTGGCTTGGGCGATGGCACAGCGTTGTCGCTCACACTTGGCGCCACATCGTTGCCATGCTGTTGCTCCTGCGGCTGGTCACAGCCCGCGAGCCTGTTGGAAGTAGGCTCAGCGGCATCGAGGGCAAGCGTGGCACCAGGATCAGCTGCACAGCCCGCCGCGAGGAGCAGGGTAACGGCAGCAAGAGCAGCAACAGCGACCGCCAGCCGCGAGCTAAGCTGCCGCCGTTGCTGCACCACCATCACCCTTCTCATCCCATTCGACGTTGGCGGTGGCAGCCAAGCAGCGAAGCCGCAGAGGAGCAAGCAGGGGGAAGCAACAAGCAAGCAAGGCAGGCGCGAAGGTGTGGTCGCGTTGTGTTGGTTGGCGGACGCAAAAATGCGAAGGCGCGTTTGAATACTGTTTATCGTGTCGCTAACAAGTACGTGTGCTTGGTGGTGTCAGGTTGGGTGGTGTGGTTGCAAGTGTTGTAGTGGTACGTGTTGTGGGTGTGGTGATGATGAGCCTGTTGGAGATGTGGAAGGTGTTGGTGAAAGGCAAGTGTGTTTCCAGAGCGAACGAGGTGCTTGGTGTGGCGGGGTGATGTCGTTGTCGTGGTGGTCATGGTGCACGCCAGCAAACAAATGCCAGCAGTACGCGTATGCCAGGCCAACGGCATCTTGGCTCTCGTGACCAGCAGGGTGCTCGTGAAGAGGGAAGAACACCATGTCCATGTCATCAGCCAACCCAACAGCAGCAGCATGCAACTCATCATCTCTCGTGTCGACGTTCGAAGGTGGTGGCGAAGATGTGCTGCTGCTGCTGCTGCTGGTGGTGGTGGTGGTGGTGGTGGTGGTGGGAAGATGGCCTGTGTCTTGCATGGTTGTTTTGGCTTGGCAACCTTTTGTCCTGCAGTGTTGTGGTTGTTGGTGGTGTTGTTGGTGTTGTTGTTGTTGTTGTTGTTGTTGTTGTTGTTGTTGTTGTTGTTGTTGTTGTTGTTCCACTTCAACGGCTTTTTGAGCGTACACAGTGATGCCAGCACCATGTTCGTAGTAGTTGTCGTCACCACCACCACCACCATCGTCGTCGTTATCGCGAACAGCAGCAGGCTCATGAGGTGGTGCTGGCGTTCGCCCGTGCATGGACCAGACGGCGTGTGGGTGGATGAGCATCTGCGCCTCGCCCTTTGCCGTGCGTCCGCCGCCGAAGAACAGCACGCGAGTCCGCACGTGGAGCCCACGCTGTTTCACCCGCCACAGCACCCGCAGCACGTGCGCCATCGCCCCCGCACAGAACAGGTGTAGGGGGCTCTCCCGCACTTGCACGGGGCCGGAGTAGAAGCGGTTTCCGTAGAGATCGTGTGCACTGTGCGGCACAAAAGTTGTGGGACAGGGGTACAGGCTGTCTCGAGTCAAGTGGCTCTCATGTTGCACTGCCAAATGATGGAAGCAGATTGGCGTGGAGTTGGTGTCCGTGCGCCGCGTTGGCTGCTTGCTGTTGCAACCTGCATCGTCCTGGCTTTGGACCGCACGACTGTCCTCAGTACCAGCTTCATGGCCACTGCACGCTCGCTCAACGTGTACATCTGCTGCGGTGGCATTGCCTTCCTCCTCCTCCTCCTCCTCCTCCTCCTCCTCCTCCTCCTCCTCCTCCTCATCATCATCATCATCTTCTTCTTCTTGTTCTCCCCTGTCTTCCGCGTTGTTGTCGACGAGGAAGTGCTGGGCTGCGATGGGGTCATCGCACTGGTCCGTCGCCAATCTGGTGCTGGCGTCCTGCGCTGCATGAGTGCTTGGCAGGTGTTGGTCGGGTACTGTGGAGAGCAGATGCCGAACGAGCTGGGCGACGAGAGGGGCGCGTGTGCTGTCGTTGTTTGTGGCGTGTTTCCACGAGGCGGCATCAAACATGTCGCCCCCACTGACCGCCAAGCTGTTGGGCAGAGCAAACTTTGCAGCCCATTGCTTTGCCGCACGTACATCCTCCTCTCGAGCAGCCAGCCAAGACCCAACTACGACGGTAACATTGAGCACGCCCGCTTCTCTGCCGTTCAGGTGCGCGTGTGCCAAGCTGGTGACGAGGGAAGCAGTGGCATCCAGCACACGGTCTGTGTACGCTGCTGGGTCGTGGCAGCTGCTTCTTGCAGTCGTGGTTTGGGTGGCCTGGTGTACGCCATCGTCGTAGCTTTCAGCATCCACCTTCACATGCGCGTGCGTGCGTGCGTGAGGGCGTGTGTGTGTGTGTGCGTATGTGTGTGTGTGTGTGTGTGTGTGTGTGTGTGTGTGTGTGTGAGGGCGTCGTTAACGACAGACCACAAACTCCTTTCATCCAAAACACGCTCACACGAAATGTTGTTGTTGTTGTTGTTGTTGTTGTTGGTGTTGGTGGTGTTGGTGGTGTTGGTGGTGTTGGTGGTGTTGGTGGTGTTGGTGTTATTGGTGTGATGGCGCTCTAGCAGTTGGGGCCACAAATTACACGCGCGTGCATGTACACGCACACATGCAAGCACACACACACACACACACCTCATTCATGCATGGGGTTGTTCCAGGCCTAACTTGCACTCATCCACACATACATGATGGATGTGCAGCGCCGCCTCCACAGCCGAAACGCACTGCATCCTCCGGGTTGTGAAAATTGTGTGAAATCTTTAACAAACATTCGGACCATGTTTTGCTGCTCCTTTTTTTTCTCTTTCGCTTTTTGGTTTGCGTGTGTGGCGAGAGGACAGCCGTGTGTTGTGTCGCGTGCACGAACATCAGTGAGGGCATTGCGACATCAGATCACATCATCACATCACCTGCTGCTGGTGTTTAGTGGGTTTGTGAGCATGGCAGTGGCTGGGTGCCTCGTGTGCAGGAAAGCTGCAACCGCAGCCCAGCATGTGTTCCTTGGCCAAGCTGGACGCGGTGAGCGTTTAGAAAGATGTGTGTGTGTGTGGATGTGTGTGTGTGCGTGGAGGTATGTGTGTGTGTGTGCACATGTGTGCATGTGTGTGTGCATGTGTGTGAGTGTATTTGCGTGCGTGTGTGTGTTTGTGGACGCAAGCACTGCACACATTTGCACGTGCATGTGTGAGTGTGTGAGTGTTTGGATGGACTCACAGGCCCCTCCCCCCCTGGGTAACATTCAATGTGTTTTCCTTCCTCACCATGCAACCACGCTCAGGGTCATCCAAGGGGTTTGTGTCACTGCGCAAGCAAGCAATGCGGGATGTCACGTCAACGAAGGAGCGCAACACATGCGTCCATCACACTTCCACGGACGCCACCCGTAAGAAGCCAAAGGCATAACACCATGTGCTGTACTGTGTGGTCGGACACGTGGTAGAAGCCACCGACTCTTCGCTGGCACATGCTCATGTTCCAGTGCCTCCTGATGCCCTCACACTTCCACGCGCACACATACCGCAGGGCATGATGAGTGTCCGTTGCCGAGGGCGAAGGCATCGTCCATCATGAACGCTGAGTCGTCAGCGTTTGCGTCAACACCAGCCTTGCCGCCGTTTCTCACATCGTTGGTGCCTGGGCTTGGGTCGCCACTGGAATGGACACACATGCAATCACCCTTCCTGCTGTCCACCCGCGGTAAGGCGTATGGGGTCACGCAAATGTGCGCAGCGCACACTTGTTGTTCGATGCTGCCACGCCGGTGCTGTGCCACAACGGCGCCACAACAGTACCACAACAGTGCTTCTACCTCCAGTCCTCGTTCACACCACCACTACCACACACTTCCCGTGCCCTTACTTGCGCAACTGTTGTTGTATTCACTTTGTTGGCGTGTCGTTGTGTCTGTCGTACAGGGTATTCCACCTCCAGCCGAATGCTTGCGCCCAAGAAGGCGAGCGACAGCGACGATGATGCTGCTGCTGCTGCTGCCCATGAGGGGGAAGTCGCAGACACGACGGAGGCCAAACCCCTCTCAGGGTGGCGCCGATTCTTGTCTGTCGATCGCATCCAGGCTCCTGCGTCCTTCAACCGGTACGTTGCGGGCGCGTGTGCGCACATGAATTCTTGTGGGACTGCGTGCTGTATTCGCGTCTTGATGCTTGCCACCATGGTCATTGGAGCGCACGCTTTTCATGCATTCTTGCTCACCACCTACACCTCCCACACACCAACCACCGCTCATTCCACATTCCTGGATATGTGTGTGTGTGTGTGTGAACGTGTGTGCGTGCATGTGCGTGTGTGCGTGCATGTGCGTGTGTGCGTGTAGGTGGTTGCTTGTTCCGCCCGCTGTCGCTGCGCACCTTGCACTCGGGTCCGTGTACGCCTGGAGCATTCTCAACAACAGCCTCACCCGCAATATCGGCGTTGTTGGATCAGCTGGTACGGCCAAGTGTTGTGCTCGCCATAGCATCGCTCGTGTCACCATGGGCGCTTGGGCGTGCATGTGTATGTACGTGCTCATGTTGCTGCAGTGAGGGAGGCGCCATATCATGCCTCCATGTGTCCACAGTGTGTCCGTGTCACCGCCACGTCTCACCCTACCTACACCTACACCTGCACCTGCACCCCCGGTCGCCAGCTGACGACTGGACGCTGAGCGAGGTTGTGCCCATCTTCTCAGTCATCTGCGGTGTGCACGGCCTCTCTGCCGCTCTTCTCGGCAAATGGCAGGAGCGCGTTGGTCCGCGCCACGCAGGTATCGTCTCTCCCGTCCCTGCACCGCACCACGCCCTGCAGCCCTTGCACGCACGCACGTGCTCCGCGTATGTGTTTGCAGTGTTGTGTGTGTGTGTGTTTGCAGTGTTGTGTGTATGTGTTGAACATGTGCGCATGTGTGCATATGTGTGCTTGTGCGTGTGCGTCCGCTGATGTTATCACGTTGGGCGGGACCAACTGTTTGCCTCGCTGAGCTTGCTGCAGCTTTGTGCACCTCACGCTTTCATACCCATCCACTGTCCACCATACCCGCGCTTGTCCTCACCGTCATCATCGCCATCCCCACCACCAGGCGTGATTGGGGCACTCACCTTTGGTGCCGGCTTTGCGCTGGGTGGTGTTGGTGTGCACATGCACAGCCTCTCCACCGCCTTCGCTTCTGGCATCCTCAGTGCGTTCGTGTTCTGCTTTCTTCTGTTTCTGACACAGTGATGGCGATAGGCGGCTTGTCTGACGCGTGTGGGCGCTGGCACATTTGCTGAATGAGATGCTCATGCATTAGTTGGTTCACATTCTCATACAACACACACCTACACACGCCTGTAGTTGGGGCTGGGATGGGCCTGTCGTATGTGCCGCCTGTTGCGACGCTGCTGCGCTGGTTCCCGGACCGCCGCGGGCTGGCCACGGGCCTAACCATCATGGGCTTTGGCGGTGGTGCCATCTTCGCCTCAATGGCAATGGTGCGATGCACGCACACGCGGGCTTGGAACCGGGGGAGGAGGGAATGTAGTTTGCTTTCCTCTCCATTTTCACTCACACACATGCATACACATTGGTTCACTTTGACATTGGTGTTGGCAGACGAACCTGATCAAAGTGTTCCAGGAAAAGCCAACGTACATTGGATCGCTGTCCGAGGTGAGATTTTGGTTTGCGCTTCTCCACTCTTCGTGTGCACTTCACGTGTTGGCACAAACAGCACACGCACACGCACACGCACTTACACACACACACACACACACACACACACACACACACACACACACACACACACACACACACATATACAAGCACAAAGATGCACAGCGTGCATGCAACTGTGCATTCGCTCACCTTCTCCTCACCACCTTGAATCTCCCACTCATACACATTGTCTATTCAGGTGGATGTGATCACATCCAACGGTCGCAAGTTGGCGGATGTGAGCGGCGTCATGGAAGAGGTGCGGTGGTGATTGTCGTTACAACACACACACATGCACACGCAGGCACGGCACACACACACACACACATGCACATGTGCACACGCAGACACACACACACATGTCGCATGTTGTATGGCTTCAACTTGATTCACCCCAACCAACACTTGGACACGTGTATGTGTGTGTTTGTGTGTACTGCAGGTCGTCGTAGCCACTGATAAGATCATTTACCGTTTGCCCTTCTCCGATCTCGCTGAAGGTGCGCAGTACACTCTCACGGCGGTGTGTGTGTGCGTTGTGCGTGTGTGTGTGCGTTGTGCGTGTGTGTTGTGCACGTGCCTGCTGCGTGCACGCTTACCGTTCTTCCCTTAAGCCTTACACCACCAGCACCACCACTACGACCACCACGTTATCAGGTGTGTATCTGGCTGGCACGGGCTCGACCGGTGTGACCCAGACGCTGGTCACGCTGGGCGCCGTCTACGCCTCCGTCCTCTTAGGCGCCTCCCTCATCTACAGGTGACACACACGCAGCCGCACTGTGCTTGCCTTTGACAGCCCTTTACGATTGTGTCGCGTGCATGTGTGTATGTGTGTATATGTGTATGTGTGTATGTGGATGCGTACGTGTGTGCTTGCAGTCGGCTATCTTGTCTGTCATCATGTATCATGTGCATGTGCCATGTTCATGTGCCAACCTGCTCATCCGGCCATCCCCCCCCCAATCCTTCAGATTGCCTCCCGCCAACTTTGCGCCTGTGACCGCATCCAAGGACGGCAAAGTCGCCAGCGGGCCCACGCCAAAGGTGAGATGTGAAACGGGGAGGCAGGCAGCCGCCATGACAACCTTTTTGCTCTGTGCACTGACAACAGTGGAGATTTGCTCGAACAGCTGCTCCCCTGACTCCGCTCCTACTGCAATTCATGTTTCTCACCACCACCGTTGTCACCACTGGCACCACTACCGCAGGGCCCCGTGACGAAAGGAAACGTGCACATTAACGATGTGATGAAGACACCCCAGTTCTGGCAAATCTGGCTGAGCTTTGGCGCCGTTGCATCCACAGGTCTGCCTTGACGCGTGGTGTATGTGTGTGTGTGTGTCTGTCGGCGTGTGTGTGCGTGAGTGCGAGAGAGAGAGAGAGAGAGAGAGAGAGAGAGAGAGAGAGAGAGAGAGAGAGAGAGAGAGAGAGAGAGAGAGAGAGTGTGTGTGTGTGTGTGTGTGTGTGCGTGTGCGTGTGCGTGTGCGTGTGCGTGTGCGTGTGCGTGTGCGTGTGCGTGTGCCGTGTGTTGTGTGCGCGTGTTTGCGCGTGTGTGTGAGTTTGACAGGGTGTGAGTAAGTGTGGCTTTGCCCGTGACATCCTGTCCCTTCAGACCATACCTACACAGAGCGTCTGTTCTGCTAACCATGCGTGCTCACACGCAACACCACGTGCGTCTTCTCAGGCATGGGCGTGCTTTCCATCGCCAACACCATGATCATGGAGATTTTTGAGCTCTCGCTTCCTCAGATTGTCTCCCTGTACGTCTTCATCATGCACACATCCACAATACCCAAACACATACATACACGCACACACTTGTGTGCACGCACTGCATCTCATCTGTGTGTGTGTGCGTGTGGCTGCTTGATCACGCATACACTTCGTCAGCGCTGTGCTGCAACTTGCCTTCATGAGCACCACCACCATCATTGCTCGTGCTCCCCACCCCTTCCTTCAGGTCCTTTGCGTCGACGTTTGTGATGGCGCTCTCTGCTGCCAATCTCTCTGGCCGCGTCGGCTGGGCTGCCGTCTCAGACTACATCGGGTACCGCATGCACATATTGGCTCCCTGCCTTGATGCGTCTGTGCGTGTCTGTGTGTGCTTGTGTGTGGTGATGTGTGCATGTGTGTGCATGTGTGTGCATGTGTGTGCATGTGCCTTGCCTCCACAGCCGTGCATGCTTGCCTTGTTGTGGTGTGTCTATTGGTCAGCTGACAGCGCCCATGTGGATGATGTATGGCACTGCTTGTGACAGACGCAAGTCGACGTACACCATCTTCACGGGCCTGAGCGTTCCTCTCTACCTCTCCCTCCCATTTTTCATCGAGAGCGCAACAGGTGCATGGTTGCGAGTTGTGGTCGTGCGAGTGCCCTGCACGTGCCTGTTTTAGCGTTGTGTTCTTCCCAATGCCTTGCAGACCCAGAAGTCGCACACATATACACACACACACACACGCGCGCTCTCTCTCATTCTCTCATATGACACTGCGTCGGTTTCGTGTGCATGTGTGCAGCTGCGCCGTCCATTGCGCCACTGGTCGGCTTCTACGGCACCACGATGCTCATCATCAGCCTCTTTGGCGGCGCTTACAGGTGCACCCCCCCCCACTTTGCGCCCTCTGTGTGTGTATGTGTGTGCGTGTGTGTGTGTGTGTGTGTGTGTGTGTGTGTGTGTGTGTGTGTGTGTGTGTGTGTGTGTGTGTGTGTGTGTGTGTGTGTGTGTGTGTGTGTGTGTGTGGTCATTTGCGGGGCGTTGTTTCAGAGCTGTTAAGCCCTGCATGTTTTCACCACACGCAATTCACAAATGCATCACCCACCACGACCACCACCGCCACCACCATCGCTGTTGCCGCTGCCAGCACGACACCCGCGTATGAGGCGGACATCTTTGGCACGAAATTCGTCGGCGCGACGCACGGCCGCATGCTCTCTGCATCCGCTGTTGGCGGTCTGGTTGGGTGTGTGTGTGTGTGTGTGTGTGTTAGTGTGTGTGTGTGTGTGTGTGTGTAACAATGCACCAAGTAGCCAGTGCTGACAAAGAAAAGAACACTTATGGGGTAACAAACGACGTATGAACAGCGGGGTGCAATAAATGAAGTGAACACAGCAGAGAAAGCATAACAACGACAGACAAAGGCGAGTAACAGTAAGTTGGCAGTCAAGGTCGCTTTGAGGCGATGGGCGTGACTTCAATGCCGGCAGCAAAGTCTTCTTCCTCTGACGGACAATGACGGAAAGGGAGCGACCGTGAGTTGTGAGCTAGAGCGCGGGCTTGTGAACACATGTGCACACACGCACATGTTGACATCAAGGAAACGAATAAGCACCAACACGTGCATAAAGACAGGCAGACAGACAGACGGACGGACAGACAGACACACAGACATGCAGACACAGACACAGAGACAGACGGACGGACAGACAGACACACAGACAGACAGACGGACAGACAGACACACAGACAGACAGACGGACAGATAGACAGATAGAGAGAAACAGAAAGACAGATACACAAGCACAGACAGACAGAGACACAAACACGTACACGCACGCACCGCTGTCAAAGGATGGGAGTTGTGTGAGTCCAAAGTCGTCATCATCGTCGTCTTCCGAGTCGTTGTTGTCATCATTCGCGCTGTCTCCATCGCCGCCATCACCGTCGTCGGCACCGGGCGCATGCGAGCAGCCGTCGCCACGAATGCGGTGCCCGTCCTTCGTTGGCGGAATGCGGATCACGCCGACGGTCCGGTCATCCAGATCAAAGCGGACAGCGGGCTGTAGCGTGACGCGTGACAGGCAGCACACAGGTAAGATGCAAGCCCACTCCGCCAGGGGCGGTTGCGGTTGCGGTTGCGTGTGTGTGTATGTGTGTGTGTATGTGTGTGTGTGTGTATGCGTATGTGTGTGTGTATGTGTGTGTGTCTGTGTGTGTGTGTCTGTGTGTGTGTCTCTGTGTGTGTGTGTCTGTGTGTCTCTCTCTCTCTCTCTCTGTGTCTGCTACCTCGCTGACTGCGGTGCGCAGGTGTCGTTGGCTCTCGGCGCTGCGTCGCCGCTGCGGGCGTGGCTGCTGCTGCGGCCGCTTTGTACTCGACAGCGACAAATGTCGCAGAAACGATCGCCTGCAGGCGCGTGTGAGCGTGCACAGTGGTGAGTGGTGGACGTGTGCGCAGGGCTGCATTGCATGCAAGCGCGGGAGCATGCAAACTTGCAAGTAAACGAATACGAAGCCAAGCGCAGTTCAGGTTAAGCCACCTTCTGGATGGCGGGGTGGTGCTGACAGTGACATCGTGCAGCCATTTCGCAGCCTGCAAGCAGCGGAGATGAAGGTGAGCGCACCGCAGGCAACGGCCGAGAGCGGTGGTACCAGGTAATCAACAGCCGAGCAAAACCACACACACACACACACACACACACACACACACACACACACACACACATGCGCGTGATATTCACGCATCCACATAGAACACATGGTGGTTCAACCATGGGGCATCACCTCGATTTGCGTCTGCGCCGCTGCAAGCGCTTGTGTCATGGTCATTTCGCCAGAGGCCACGCTGTCAGACAGACACCATGTGTGTGCGCGTGTGCATGCGTGGGTGCAGATAGTGTTGTAGAGTTTGATTGAGAGTACTCGATGCACTTGCAGTGTAACAGAGCGCACATCGGAGCAACACTTACACTCTCACTTACATACACGCACACACATTCGAACAGAAGTGCCCACCTTTGCAAGAGTTTGAGGCGCTGTGAGTTCGACAGCATGGCCAAACACTCCGCGTCAATGTCCTCCTACGACATACACGCACACATACATATACAGGTGCACACATGCGCAGATGCACACGTGGCAGGGCATTCATATGAGCGAAACGCCACCAGCAGAACCCCCCAACGAACACACACACACACACACACACACACACACACACACACACACACACACACACACACACACACACACACACACACACAAAACACACACACACACACACACACACAAAAGCACACACACACACAAAAACACACACACTCTCACACATGCATGCACACACACACACATGCACAGACGAGCGGACGTTGGTGTTCACCTGTACTTGGGAGGTGGAGGTGGCTTGTGGGCCCGCATTGTCCGGACCATCAGTGGGGATGACAATGTCTTTCGATGTGATCATCGGCCTGATGGAAAGAGTTGGCACACATGCAAACACACACACACAGACACACACACAGGTGTTTCACACACACAGGTGTTTCACGCACACATGCAAACACACACACACACACACACACGCACGCACGCACGCACACAATTACACACAGCACACAGAGATGTACACATGCATGGACATGAGGGCGACATACCAAAACAACAGGTGAATTGCAGGGTCAAGCAAGACGCAGCGCAAGCCAGCACGGTGTCGCAAGACAAGCGAGAATCAACGACAACACGACAACACGAGTTGGACACGCGCGAGTGGCGCACGGTGTCGGGTGCATTGATGTGACGTACGGTCTGGTTTTGCGCAGGAGTTCCTGAACGCGTGTGCTGTCATTGGCCAACACGGCATCCTCAATCTTCAAAGCAGTGGCAACAAGTGGTGGTGGTGGTGATGTTTGGAACGAGTGAGCTGATGGCTGGTGACTACAAGTCAAACCCAGCACATGCTTATTACGGCAGTTGAGTTGTAGCAAAGCTGCTGCTTCACCTCTTTTGCGAGCGTTAGTGCTTCATCCTGTGACAGAACACCGTCCTGTTCAACCCCATATCAAGTCAAACAGCGGGAGCAGTGGAGGCGTTGAGATCCCGCTGCCGTCGTCAAGGGCGGAGACATGGAGAGGCATGCGCTGGGACAGGGGGATCGGGACACTGATCGCCACAAATCAGACACATAAATGCACACGCACACGTACACACAGATACACAAAACACACACACACATACACACACACACGTACAAGCACACACACACGTACAAGCACACACACACACACGTACAAGCACACTCACAAACACACACACACACACACACACACACACAAACAAACTAGCGCGTCCCAGCGTGCACAACCTTGACGGCGAGGAGGACCTGGAGCCGCTGCTCCATGGTAAGGTTGTCGATGGCAGCGTGCATAACGACCGGTTTGCCGTCGCGAATGAGCACGCGCGGTTGGTGCCGCTGCGCCGACGACGCCGCGTCCTGCGCGGGGGACGCCCGCCGCGATGGCGATGAGCTGGTGCCGGTGCTCGCGCCACTGCTGCCGCTGTTGCTGTGGCCGTTGGCACTGCCAACGCGTCGGTCGTGTGCGTGGTGATCGGTGGCGGCTTGATCACCTGGGCGCTCCACTGCAGCCGGGCTGCTCGCGGTTGCACCAGTCGAACGAGACTGTGCCTGCTGGTGGTGCTGGAGCGTGGATAACGCCTGCGATGGCGAAGGGCGTGTGGGAAGAACCGCGCTGCCTGATTGAGATGCTGTCGTCTTTATCGCC